GTGAATAGACATAACCTCGCAATCCTATCCATTTTCTAGATAAAAATTCGAGAAGATGTGAAATTTTTCGACAAAATTAAAAAATTTCAAATCGTTCTAAAAAAATTATATTTAGATAGAGGGATCAATTACAAGCATTTTTGGTGAATAGACATAACCTCGCAATCCTATCCATTTTCTAGATAAAAATTCGAGAAGATGTGAAATTTTTCGACAAAATTAAAAAATTTCAAATTCTTCTAAAAAAATTATATTTAGATAGAGGGATCAATTACAAGCATTTTTGGTGAATAGACATAACCTCGCAATCCTATCCATTTTCTAGATAAAAATTCGAGAAGATGTGAAATTTTTCGACAAAATTAAAAAATTTCAAATTCTTCTAAAAAAATTATATTTAGTTAGAGGGATCAATTACAAGCATTTTTGGTGAATAGACATAACCTCGCAATCCTATCCATTTTCTAGATAAAAATTCGAGAAGATGTGAAATTTTTCGACAAAATTAAAAAATTTCAAATTCTTCTAAAAAAATTATATTTAGTTAGAGGGATCAAATAGAAGCATTTTTGGTGAATAGACATAACCTCGCAATCCTATCCATTTTCTAGATAAAAATTCGAGAAGATGTGAAATTTTTCGACAAAATTAAAAAATTTCAAATCGTTCTAAAAAAATTATATTTAGTTAGAGGGATCAATTAGAAGCATTTTTGGTGAATAGACATAACCTCGCAATCCTGCGCATTTTCTAGAAAAAAATTCGAGAAAGGGTTGAAATTTTTCGACAAAATTAAAAAATTTCAAATCTTCTAAAAAAATTATTTTTGGTTACAGAGGCTAATTACAATCGTTTTTGGTGAGCAGACATAACCTCGAAATCCTACCCATTTTCTAGAAAAAAATTCGAGAATGGTAGAAACTTTAAACGTTAATAACTTTTTAACAAAGCCTCAATCAACAAATTGATATTCTTGATTTTCGTCTTATTTTGGCCTCTAAAATCAGTACAGTTGATTTAAAAAAACGTTATCTCACACGAAACATTTTCAATTAGTACGAGTCTGGCTATATGAAATAGATTTTGAGATATCATAATTTCATCAGTACTTTTAACATCCTCTTTCGATTGCAAAGAGTGTTACAGTTTATTCACGAAAAATTCCTCGAGCAAGTTGCAAGAAAAACGCACTATGCTCGAACGGGGAAATTTCTTTATAAGCGAAACCGCGTCGGTGTGTTCCAAAAATCGATATTCGTGTGCGGGGTTGCGTGGACAGGGTTACGCAGGATCGCGTAAGCGCGGTGAGCTGGGAAATTTAGGAAAAGTGAACGAGACCCCGGATAAGGAGTCTTGCAAGCGGGACGCGTTGTCGTTTCTACGCAGTTCCCGCTGGTCGGTGGCATTTTCGCCGGGCGCTTGTTAAAATTTTATCGATCCGTGGTGAACAGACGTCACGTTTAAAAGGGTGAAATATCGGGTAGGAATATAGGTCAGCCGGGAACAGACTGTTCGATCTCGGTGACTCTTTGAACTAACCGCGGAACGAAAGTAGCTGTATTGTAAAAAGAAAAAGAAAGAAAGAAAGAAGTGCTCTGTTTTACCGACGGTGACTTAAACGGTGGAATGAAATTTTTGAATTTTTCCCCCGATTTTATGATCGACGATAAAAATAAACAAACTACTGCACGGCGTATGAACGCTCTGTACACAACAAAAAATAATTTTAAGCTCGATCTCTATGATTTTGTTTATAGTATTTCTCTTCGATATTATTTTTGGTTTTTTTAAATGTAAAAATTCCAAAAATCCTTCTACAATGTTATGTATCATTTCTTGCTGAAAAAGTACGCCATTCCTCGGAATAGAAAAGTCCTGATTATACATTGACTGGATTATAAATTAATTTACGTATAACCTAACAACAGTATGCCTAATTGAACAATAATAAATTATTAAGTTTATAAATATGTTGGTCGGAAGCGCTGGTTTTAACAAATATAGGCTTGTATAAACTAGTATAAAGAGTATTAATTACTCTTAATTTCATCAACACACCTGAATCAACCTGTACATAAAAATAAAAATTCCAAACCCAAATCACTTTTCTCGATCATCCTCGCTCGAGACACGTTCGAGAAAAAAAACGTAAAAACCCTCTAAGAGAAACGTGAGACTTAATGAGCTACCTTTACCAGTGACCAAGGATGTATGCAACAACCCTAACATATCGCGTTACCATCCCATCAGCCCGAAAATGGTTCAAACCTAAAGGGCAAATCGATCGTTTCGTGAACCAGAGTTCCACGGGTCCCGACAGCGGCCTAATTTTTAATTTCTCTCGCTGTTGCTGCCGGATCAGAGCAAAAGGAGGATCGAGGGGCGGGGGAGGAATAGTGGAACAGGTTTTCAGGTCGGTAGGGTACCCAGAAGGGTCGCTACGAATGACTACCTAACGACCACGAGCTTGGGCCCTTTTACCGCTGGAAAATGGTGAACAGGTGCTCGTAAAAATCTAACACCTTCGACTATCATTCGCCTTCCTCTTCTTCCTGCACGTAGTATGAATTACAGGACCCTAAACTTCGACCTGGACTGACAGAAAACGTTAATTGTCCCGCGAGAAACATTTTCTTATCTAAACAAATTAAATTTTTAACATTGAAATAAAAAATAAACATTTTTCTTATCTAAACGTTTTTTAATAACGATGTCGAGTCATTCGAGAGGGCTTTGCATTCTCGATGATCCTTGGTGCAGTGTTTTGTTTTGGGCCAGCTTTGGGGCATTAGATCTCAACTATAATTAATAAAACACGCGACAAGTGAAGACAGCAACGATGGTTTATAATAGAAAAATTCCCAACGCGATTTTTAACAATAGAAGCTTAAAAAATAGTAAAACTTGCTACCCCAATAGCAATTTACTAGCGTTTACTGATAATTCGAGACGCCATTTTTGAAGCAAACGTCCCTAGCTTTTGCAATTGATGCAAATATTAATTACTATTATTGTGCAAATGTAATCTAGCACCAGACGATCGTCCTGACATATATATCCGCGATGATGCAATTCTCTCGCGAGAAAGCGCTCGAGAAGCTTCGCCACCTGGCGGTGACATCGCAATGAATTTTTTTCTCGAAAATGCGCAAGATTTCGGGGGTATGTCTATTCACCAAAAATGATTGCAATTGACCCCCGCGACGGAAAATAATTTTTCCAAAACGATTTGAAATTCTTTTTTTCCCGTCGAAAAATTCCACATCTTCTTGAATTTTTTCCCCGAAAGTGGGTAGAATTTCAACGATATGTCTAATGACCAAAAATGATTGTAATTGGCTCCTGCAATCAAAAATAATTTTTTTAGAACGATTTCAAAAATGTTGGTACCTACCCCTTTCGATTTTTCTTAAAAATTTGTTTTTCATTTTTAATAAATTTGGTTGGCGCTGTACAGAAAAGTTGTTTAATACTTTTTTGCAGATATCCATGAGCTCTATTTCCCCTTCAAATTTCAATGAAATCCGTCGACTATTGTAGGAGTTATGGTAGTTTGAAAATTGGACAATGTTTTATGGGGGTTTTCTCATTTTGCGGTTTCAAGCATCAACTTTTCGAATATTTTTGGAATTTCTACATATTCTCCATTAAAATACGCGTCGTTTGCCTTTTTAAACATTAAAATCGGCCAATCCGTTCAGAAGTTATGAATTTTTAGAGATTCGCATGAAATTTCGGGGTACCATTTCTGGGCCAGAATTTATATTTTCGTTAAGGAATTTTTTTCTCGAAAATGGTTAGGATTTTGAGGGTATGTGTATTCACCAAAAATTATTGTAATTGACTCCCGTAACTGAAAATAATTTTTTTAGAAGAATTTGAAATTTTTTAATTTCGTCGTAAAATTTCACATCTTCTTGAATTTTTTTTTCGAAAATGCGCAAGATTTCGGGGGTATGTCTATTCACCAAAAATGATTGCAATTGACCCCCGCGACGGAAAATAATTTTTCCAAAACGATTTGAAATTCTTTTTTTCCCGTCGAAAAATTCCACATCTTCTTGAATTTTTTTCCCGAAAGTGGGTAGAATTTCAACGATATGTCTAATGACCAAAAATGATTGTAATTAACCCCTGCAAACAAAAATAATTTTTTTAGAACGATTTCAAAAATGTTGGTACCTACCCCTTTCGATTTTTCTTAAAAATTTGTTTTTCATTTTTAATAAATTTGGTTGGCGCTGTACAGAAAAGTTGTTTAATACTTTTTTGCAGATATCCATGAGCTCTATTTCCCCTTCAAATTTCAATGAAATCCGTCGACTATTGTAGGAGTTATGGTAGTTTGAAAATTGGACAATGTTTTATGGGGGTTTTCTCATTTTGCGGTTTCAAGCATCAACTTTTCGAATATTTTTGGAATTTCTACATATTCTCCATTAAAATACGCGTCGTTTGCCTTTTTAAACATTAAAATCGGCCAATCCGTTCAGAAGTTATGATGTTTTAAAGATTCGCATGAAATTTCAGGGAAGCATTTTCGGTAAAGAATTTTTTTTTCGAAAATGCGCAAGATTTCGGCGGTATGTCTATTCACCAAAAATGATTGCAATTGACCCCCGCAGCAGAAAATAATTTTTCCAAAACGATTTGAAATTGTTGACTTTAATTGTTAATAACTTTTAAACGAAGCCTCCATCAACAAATTAATATTCTTGATTTTTGTCTTATTTTGGCCTCTAGAATCCCCCATTAAAATTTTTCCCAGAGCTGACCTAACACCTTGTATATTGAGTAGAAAGACCCTAATTTAAGATAAAACTATCATTTTTCAATTATCTATCTCGATTGAAAGATATTTCTTACTTAATACTGTCAGTTGCATCGAAGATTCTAATAGAAATTTTGCTTGTGTACGTCTGTGATACAATTTGTATCCGTAGCGTGAAAACGGTGAAGTTTTAATATTAGTTAATTAATATCGTTGATTTTGATTTCAGCCTCGGGAGGGGGAGGTTCGATGTTGGTCCCTCCCGTGGCCCAAAGTGGGACTGGGGATCGTCCCGTGGGCGACACGGGTGCCCGGGCCCAACAGTCCGGCCCTGCCGCGGCAGCAACCCTGTGGCCGTTAGCGCCTGCGCAGACCAATCAGGTCCAGAGTCAACAGTCCCAGGGCATACCACCTCTGGCCGCCACTCCCGCGCCTGCTCACAACCAAGGTACAATTCTTCGTTTCATTCTTCGCTTCCAAGCAATTATCGCAACACTATCCAGTTTAACACGTTCACTGCCATATCAACACCGTATAACATTCTGTGCAAGTAAAATCTTGACTTTAAACCATTGTAAGCTACATAACCTAAAATAAAATTTGTTTCACTACTTATTTTCGGAACCTCGTAAGCTACATAACCTAAAATTTGTTTCACTACTTATTTCCGTAACCTCGTAAGCTACATAACCTAAAATTTGTTTCACTACTTATTTTCGGAACCTCGTAAGCTACATAACCTAAAATTTGTTTTCCTCGAGGTCTTAACTTGAGAATTAATTTTTCTAGTATAATAATGATAAATTCTGTCATCCACAAAATGGGTGACGTGGCAGTCAAAGTGTTAAGCGTTCGCGGTCTATTCGAACGTGTGAAAACACGCGCCGGGAGAATGTAAATTAGAAATTATATATGTGAGAATATCTTAATGCATTCTGTTACGGTAATTTCGAGCGCTCGAGAGTGATTTACATCGCAAATAAGTTGCTGCTTCATAAATATCTGTTACAATGTCCCTTCTGTCGCAATGATCGTAATTTTAGTCGATCGGTGCAATTCACGCGTTAAACACCTATAAACGTTTTACATATACATACGTTTAACAGAAATTCGAATGTTGATACAGAATTTAAGTTTTTTTAATGAAACTGAGTTACGGTTGAACTTAGAAGTAGAAGTGTGTAAAGCATGTCACTATTTGTAACGGTGATTTATAAATTTATTTAGAATGGTAATTATTTGTTATCATATTGTTTATGTATATGTTACCGTGAATGACCGAAATTGGAGAATGTCAACTTTCACCGGTGAATGTCAACAGATACCAAATACGTCGGTGAAAGATCGAATATTTCATTACATTGTTGTACATTCGGACCCTCTCCGGTGTGTGTCGACAATCACAGATATGCTCTGCTGGACGTCCAAAACAGAAGAGTCAAAAAACAAGCGACTGGCTCTCTCCTGCCAAATCCTTTGTTCTGCTCGGAGTCAATCAGCTTTGTCAGTCTTATGCAAGCTTTGATAACGCGAGCAACGTTTTCTTAATTTTTTTTCCGATACGCTAATTTATACTAAATGGATACTGCAGTAAATCGTGATCTTTTTCTAACCCAGATCTGAGTTAGGTCTGGGTTAGGTCTGGGTTAGATCTGAGTTAGGTCTGGGTTAGGTCTGGATTAGATCTGAGTTAGGTCTGGGTTAGGTCTGGATTAGATCTGAGTTAGGTCTGGGTTAGGTCTGGGTTAGGTCTGGATTAGATCTGAGTTAGGTCTGGGTTAGGTCTGGGTTAGGTCTGGATTAGATCCGAGTCAGGTTTGGGTTAGGTCTGGATTAGATCTGAGTCAGGTTTGGGTTAGGTCTGGGTTAGGTCTGGATTAGATCTGAGTTAGGTCTGGGTTAGGTCTGGATTAGATCTGAGTTAGGTCTGGGTTAGGTCTGGGTTAGGTCTGGATTAGATCTGAGTCTGGTTTGGGTTAGGTCTGGATTAGATCTGGATTAGGTCTGCGTTAGGTCTGGGTTAGATCTGGATTAGAACCCAGACCTAACCCAAAGTTAACCCAGACCTAACCCAGACCTAACCCAGACCTAATCCAGACCTAACCCAGACCTAACCCAGACCTAACTCAGATCTAATCCAGACCTAACCCAGACCTAACCCAGACCTAACTCAGATCTAATCCAGACCTAACCCAGATCTAACTCAGATCTAATCCAGACCTAACCCAGACCTAACTCAAATCTAATCCAGACCTAACCCAGACCTAACCCAGACCTAACTCAGATCTAATCCAGACCTAACCCAGACCTAACCCAGACCTAACTCAGATCTAATCCAGACCTAACCCAGACCTAACTCAGATCTAATCCAGACCTAACCCAGACCTAACTCAGATCTAATCCAGACCTAACCGAAATCTAATCCAGACCTAACCCAGACCTGACCCAGACCCTAGATTTGGGTTAGGTCTGGGTTAGGTCTGGATTAGATCTGAGTTAGGTCTGGGTTAGGTCTGGATTAGATTTCGGTTAGGTCTGGGTTAGGTCTGGATTAGATCTGGGTTAGGTCTGGATTAGATCTCGGTTAGGTCTGGGTTAGGTCTGGGTTAGATCTGGATTAGATCTGGGTTAGGTCTGGATTAGATCTGAGTTAGATCTGAGTTAGGTCTGGGTTAGGTCTGGGTTAGGTCTGGGTTAGATCCTTTCAGAAAGAGAGGCGAAAAAGTTACGTCACCCTTGTGACGTTTTATAGCGACTGAATTACGGGGAAGAAAATATAAATCTCCAACATGTTCAACACACACCATTAGTGCATGGTGAATGTCAACATTTACCGGTGTAAGTCAGAAATAAGGGTGTTTAGCAAATATTTCGGGCATACACTAAGCGACTATGTGAATGTTGACATTCACCGGTGAAAGTCGACATTCTCCAGATTTCGGTGTTTCACTGTAACATATACATAAACAGTTTTCGTTGCTCAGACTTATACGTATAATTGATCTTGTAGAAATATTATTATAACCGATAAAATACTTAATTTTAACACTTTACCGACCGATAGCCTATTAATCGACTGTTTTACCGACCGATAGCGTATTAATCAACTTTTTTACCGACCAACGCTTACCGGCCGATAAAACAGTTGATTAATAGGCTCTCTGTCGGTAAGCGTTGGTCGGTAAAACAGTCGATTAATAGGCTATCGGTCGGTAGTGTGTTAAGTTTGAGAGCATCCACCCTTAGATTTAAGTGTGTCGATCGATGACTCGGTTGTTTTAAGATTGATATGCTCTTGTTTAAGGGTTGAAAGTATTTTTTGGGGTTCTTCCAAATCGAAACACGTGAATAATAAAATTATTATTCATCGACTGTGAGTAGAGGATTGTAAAAGGTAAATTGTTTCGTTTAATGGTGTTACAGGTGTGAGTCGCTACGGGCTGTACTCTTTATTCCCTGGGGGTGGCGGAGGAAGTTACGTCGCGGCCACTCCCGCCACCCCCGGACCGCCCACGCCAGCCCGAGCTTATCACGCGACAACACACAAGGGTAAGTTTACAACGATTTCTACTTTATTCCACACACTTCGCTTTCTCTTCGTCAGCGCCCCCTTTTCTCCATTTAACTCCTTACCATTTCTCCTGTGTATCATATTTTTAGTTCCACCCTGTATATAACAGTATTTAACACGTTGATTGCTAGTTTAAAATCTTAAAATTCTTTACAGGATCAAAACTCTGATTTCAGGCAATTGTAAACTGCACAACTTAAAAGTGCTGATTTTGTTGCACCTTTGGTATAAAGTGAACATTTTGGAAAAATTATTTTCGGTTGTGAAGGTCAATTGCAATCATTTTTGGTGAATAGACATACCCCTGAAATCTTGCGCATTTTCGAGAAAAAAATTCATTGCGATGTCACCGCCAGGTGGCGAAGCTTCTCGAGCGCTTTCTCGCGAGAGAATTGCATCGTCGCGGATATATATGTCAGGACGATCGTCTGGTTCATAAATTGATATTGCACAACGTATATAGTGAAGAATTGTGTCCTTTGGGATAATTCTAGAACATATATGATTTATAAGAATTTATTAAAATAGTAGGATAATTTATTATCATAAAAAATTCAAAAACTGTGTAAATCATTACTCACAAGAAGAAACAGTTAGAAACAATAGAAAAGATAAGCAGCACTGCTTACAATCAGAAAATGAAATATTGTATATGGTTGCACATACTTTAGGTATGTTTACCAAGCGTTGAACACGATGTTTGTTTACATTTATCTTACCCCAGAAACGATCCAGTGATCGACGAAAGATTTCTTCAAACCAGTGTTAGATATTTACAAAATGAAGGAATACAGGTTCTTAAATTTCCCCTGCCCTGTATAAAATAGTAATAGTATTAAATTATGATTTTTCTTGCTTATAAAGAAGATGCATCGTTTTGAGGAATTTTAGTGCCTTCACGCGATTGGTAGGAAGAAACGTTCGCGTTGTCTTTAATTTCCGAAATTTCCCATTATTCGTAAGCAGCTGCAGCAGGTGATGCGCAGCCTGTGTCGGATAATCGTTATTCCAGCGTATTATTTCATTTAGATCGCATCTTGCAGTACAAATTATTGCCACGCACGTAGTCGACGAATCGTCGCTCCATAAAGCAGTTTCGAAGTTCTTCGATGTTCGACAGAGAGACTTATGGCACCACCGTTGCAAAACAGCTGGCTGTTATACTTAACTTATTTGTCGACTGCTTGTTTTCAATAGCGACGGCCGCGTTTCTTTCAGTAAATAATCATCGGTTATCCACGAACATTTCCCTCGATTGAGTGATTGAGATTTTTGAAACAGTACTTGCCATCGTGGATAAACTTGAAATATCAAATTCTAGTTAGCTCTTGATATAAAATTTTTAAACAAGACTCAGGTGTCTGGTTTATGTCTGGGTTAGGTATGTGTTATGTCTGGGTTAGGTCTATCCCCTAAAACTGGCCCAATTTTCAAACGGTCATAATTTCTACAATAGTAAAGGCATCGCATTGAAATTTTTCTCTCAAGTAGAGCCCATGAGTACCTACAAATAAGTATTAAACAACTTTTCTGTAGGGTGTTGAACAAAATTATTAAAAATGAAAAACAAATTCGTAAGACGAATCGACAAGGGGTAGCTGCCTCAATTTTTCGGCTAAATTAAAAAATTTCAAATCGTTCGAAAAAAATTATTTTCAGCTACGGGAGTCAATTGCAATCATTTTTGGTCAATAGACATACCCTCGAAATCCTACCCATTTTCGAGAAAAAAATTCCTTAACGAAAATATAAATTCTGGCCCAGAAATGGTACCCCGAAATTTCATGCGAATCTTTAAAAATTCATAACTTCTGAACGGATCGGTGGATTTTAATGTTTAAAAAGGCAAACGACGCGTATTTTAATGGAGAATATGTAGAAATTCCAAAAATATTCGAAAATTTGTTCCTTAACCCTGTAAAATGAAGAAAAAAACCCCTAAAAATGGTCCAACTTTCAAAAGGCCATAATTCCTACAATAGTAAAGGTGTCGCATTGAAATTTTTTCCTAAAGTAGAACTCATGGGTATCTACAAAAAAGTATTAGACAACTTTTCTGTAGGGCGTTATACAAAAATGAAACACGAATTTTTACGAAAAATCAAAGGGGGTAGGTGCCTAACTAAAAAAAAAATTTCAAATCTTCCTGAAAAAATTATTTTCGGTTGCAAGGGTGAATTACAATCATTTTTGGTCATTAGACATACCCTCGAAATCCTACCCACTTTCGAGAAAAAAATTCGAGAAGATGTGAAATTTTTCGACGAAATTAAAAGATTTCAAATTCTTCTAAAAAAATTATTTTCGGTTACAGAGGTCAATTACAATAATTTTTGGTGAATAGACCTACCCCCGAAATCCTATCCACTTTCGAGAAAAAAATTCCTCAACGAAAATATAATCAGAGGCCTGAGAAATGGTTCCCCGAAATTTCATGCGAATCTTTAAAATATCATAACTCCTGAACGGATTGGACGATTTTAAAGTTTCAAAATGCAAACGGCGCGTATTTTAGTGGAGAATATGTAGAGATTCCAAAAATATTCGAAAATTTGTTCCTTAACCCTGTAAAATGAAGAAGAAAACCCCTAAAAATGGTCCAATTTTCAAAAGGCCATAATTCCTACAATAGTAAAGGTGTCGCATTGAAATTTTTCTCTGAAGTAGATCTCATGGGTACCTACAAAAAAGTATTAGACAACTTTTCTGTAGGGCGTTATACAAAATGAAACACGAATTTTTAAGAAAAATCGAAGGGGGTAGGTGCCTAACTAAAAAAAAAATTTCAAATCTTCCTGAAAAAATTATTTTCGGTTGCAAGGGTCAATTGCAATCATTTTTGGTCATTAGACATACCCTCGAAATCCTACCCACTTTCGAGAAAAAAATTCGAGAAGATGTGAAATTTTTCGACGAAATTAAAAGATTTCAAATTCTTCTAAAAAAATTATTTTCGGTTACAGAGGTCAATTACAATAATTTTTGGTGAATAGACCTACCCCCGAAATCCTATCCACTTTCGAGAAAAAAATTCCTCAACGAAAATATAATCAGAGGCCTGAGAAATGGTTCCCCGAAATTTCATGCGAATCTTTAAAATGTCATAACTCCTGAACGGATTGGACGATTTTAAAGTTTCAAAATGCAAACGGCGCGTATTTTAGTGGAGAATATGTAGAGATTCCAAAAATATTCGAAAATTTGTTCCTTAACCCTGTAAAATGAAGAAAAAAACCCCTAAAAATGGTCCAATTTTCAAAAGGCCATAATTCCTACAATAGTAAAGGTGTCGCATTGAAATTTTTCTCTGAAGTAGATCTCATGGGTACCTACAAAAAAGTATTAGACAACTTTTCTGTAGGGCGTTATACAAAATGAAACACGAATTTTTAAGAAAAATCGAAGGGGGTAGGTGCCTAACTAAAAAAAAAATTTCAAATCTTCCTGAAAAAATTATTTTCGGTTGCAAGGGTCAATTGCAATCATTTTTGGTCATTAGACATACCCTCGAAATCCTACCCACTTTCGAGAAAAAAATTCCTTAACGAAAATATAAATTCTGGCCCAGAAATGGTACCCCGAAATTTCATGCGAATCTTTAAAAATTCATAACTTCTGAACGGATCGGCCGATTTTAATGTTTAAACCGGCAAACAACGCGTATTTTAGCGGAGAATATGTAGAAATTCTAAAAATATTCGAAAACTTATTCCTTCGCTCCGAAAAATGAGAAAAACCCCCTAAAAATGGTCCAATTTTCAAACGGCTATAACTCTTATAATAGTAGATAGATTTCATTGAAATTTATTCTGGAGGTAGAGCTCATAGACATCTACAAATAAGTATTACACAACATTTTTCTACAGCGCCAACCAAAATTATCAAAATTGGAAAACGAATTTTTAAGAAAAATAAACAGGGGGCTAAATTTTTCGACGGAATTGAAACGTTTCAAATTATTTAAAAATTACTTAGTGGCCAAACCAATAGAATCAAACCTTAATAAAATTATTCGTTAACAGCACTGTGCAAAATCGACCTATTTCCACCCTATTTTACCTATTTTCCCAAACACCTCGATTTTCCCGCCTCGAAGGGGTCCGTATCCACCCCCGGAAGCACGATCATAAAGAAAAACGAGGCAAAGGAAGTCGAGGGGGGGGCGCGTGTTCGCGCGAATCTCCATCGCGGTGGCGGGGTAATTGAAATCTCGTCCGCGGTTCGAGATTCGATTTCAGACAAGGGCCCCACGACGTTAAGGGAGGAATCCCCCGCGATATTTCACCATCACTGTGCCCCTCCACCATCTAACTCGAGGGGGGCGCGATCCTGCGTGTCCTCTTTCGTTCCCCGTCTCGGCGTTTTGGATTACACCTTGGACAATGAGGTCGTTAGAGGGGCGAGCAAAGGGGGCAGAAAGTAGAAAGACTCGCCACCCTCGCGTCTCGAAGTTCAGGCCCCCCTCCCCCCAGAATTTCGTCTTTCTCTTCGAAGGAGCGACCAACTGTATGTAATTCTATTTGCTCGAGTATTTTTCTGTCCCCCTCGCCCCCCACCCCCTTCGTTTGGCCGCTTTAATTGCATAATTGCGCCATTGTGTCCGCGAGGAGGGGGCCCCGTGAAAGGCCAGTCCCCTTTCCAGCGACGGTGGCTGCTCTCGAGGTGAGAAAAAACGCGAGAAGGGGGGGGGTGGGGGGGAGCGCTACACCTGAACGTGGTTCGCCAGGTAGCGGGGGGACCGTGGAATTCGCCGTGTCGTACCCCCTCCCCCCGACTCGCAGTCGCCCCCCCCCCAAGTCTAATTAGAAGGGGTGTAATTGGGTGGACCTTAGGCGATGACAAATTTTTTTCGTGATTTTTTGAAGAACTAATCTACGAAAAATCTAAAATTGAAGTCGTGACGCGTCGATGTTGAGAATTATTTAAAAAAAAAATTTGAATAATTTGAAACGTTTCAATTTCGTCGAGAAAATTTAGCCACCTGTTTATTTTTCTTAAAAATTCGTTTTTCATTTTTCATAATTTTGGTTGGCGCTGTAGAAAAATGTTGTGTAATACTTATTTGTAGATATCTATGAGCTCTACCTCCAGAATAAATTTCAATGGAATCTATCAACTATTATAAGAGTTATGGTTGTTTGAAAATTGGACCATTTTTATGGAGCTTTTCTCATTTTTCGGAGCGAAGGAATAAGTTTTCGAATATTGTTAGAATTTCTACATATTCTTCGCTAAAATACGCGTTGTTTGCCGTTTTAAACATTAAAATCGGCCGATCCGTTCAGAAGTTATGAATTTTTAAAGATTCGCATGAAATTTCGGGGTACCATTTCTGGGCCAGAATTTATATTTTCGTTAAGGAATTTTTTTCTCGAAAGTGGGTAGGATTTCGAGGGTATGTCTAATGACCAAAAATGATTGCAATTGACTCCCGTAACTGAAAATAATTTTTTTCGAACGATTTGATATTTTTGAATTTCGTCGAAAAAATTCACACCTTCTCGAATTTTTTTCTAAAAAGTGGGTAGAATTTCGAGGGTATGTCTGATGACCAAAAATGCTTGTAATCGACTCCCGTAACTGTAAATAATTTTTTCAGAAAGATTTGAAATTTTTTAATTTAGCCGAAAAATTGAGTTCTTGATTCGTCTTAAGAATTTGTTATTCATTTTTAATAATTTTGTTCAACACCCGACAGAAAAGTTGTTTAACACTTTTTTGTAGGTACTCATGAGCTCTACCTGAGAGAAAAATTTCAATGCGTTCGCGGTCGCTAAACTATAAAAAGTCCGTTGCATTTCCTGATTTCGCGAACGTCTCGTCTCCGCCACGAGCCCATCGGATATACGCCGAAGCAGTATGAATATTAAAGCTACCCAGTGACGTGTTGCCCGATGGGCTTATTGAAATTTATCGCATTTATTCTACGCCGCTGTCGATAAATATGCAATAAACGATCTGGCAGACGGATAAATGGAAAATCCATGCAAATTCATTTAAATCGGACGCGACACTCTCGTTTTGCAGGAAAACAGAAACTGGGAAGGAGAACAGAGGTTAGGGGGAAGAAAGGGAGATAATAGCTATATTTCTACTTCTCATCCTCCATCCAAACTTTCCTCCTCCTTTCGTAGATATCCGGTGACTTCTGGTAATTTTAACATTGCTCTGAAATATTTTTTCTGTGGGTCATTGGTGACCCCATGTGAATTCTCCATTAACTCTCAGACTATTCAAAATTTGTATATAATTGTTGTGAATCAAGATTTCGTATTGATAACAATGAGAGAGAAAAAAGGAAAATATTTCCTGTATTGCTCTAACAATAAAACCGACAATAATTAGGTCTATTTTATTATTTGGAATTTTTCCTATTAAAACAATCATTACTGCGAAATAAAATAATTGCAACCTTTAATTTAATTGCTTCGATCAATCCAGCTGATTAGTGTACAACAGGCAATAATTTTCTTTACCACTCGAGAACAGATTACTGTGTTCCATTTCGAAACTGTTACCTGAATTCTTCAGTAAGGCTTGTCCTCTAGCACAGTTGTCTTTCAACCTTTTCTTAACTCGTGACTTTCAAATATCAATATTATCTATGTATATCTCTAGCCTCTCCACTTATGGTTACTTTCACTTGCTAGGAATAATGGTACATAAATTATTTGTTTACGATACACAGTGTATATATAGTAAAAAGGTGCTAAATTGAAATGTAATATGAAATATAGTAAAAAAGAAAATAAAGTAACTTAGCACTTTACCGACCGATAGCCTATTAATCGACTGTTTTACCGGCCAACGCTTACCGACCGATAGCCTATTAATCAACTGTTTTATCGGGTTAGGTCTGAATTAGATCTGAGTCAGGTTTGGGTTAGGTCTGGGTTAGGTCTGGATTAGATCTGAGTTAGGTCTGGGTTAGGTCTGGATTAGATCTGAGTTAGGTCTGGGTTAGGTCTGGGTTAGGTCTGGATTAGATCTGAGTCAGGTTTGGGTTAGGTCTGGATTAGATCTGGATTAGGTCTGCGTTAGGTCTGGGTTAGGTCTGGATTAGATCTGAGTTAGGTCTGGGTTAGGTCTGGATTAGATCTGAGTCAGGTTTGGGTTAGGTCTGGATTAGATCTGGATTAGGTCTGCGTTAGGTCTGGGTTAGATCTGGATTAGAACCCAGACCTAAACCAAAATTAACCCAGACCTAATCCAGACCTAACCCAGACCTAACTCAGATCTAACCCAGACCTAACTCAGACCTAACTCAGATCTAATCCAGACCTAACCCAGACCTAACTCAAATCTAATCCAGACCTAACCCAGACCTAACCCAGACCTAACTCAGATCTAATCCAGACCTAACCCAGACCTAACCCAGACCTAACTCAGATCTAATCCAGACCTAACCCAGACCTAACTCAGATCTAATCCAGACCTAACTCAGACCTAACTCAGATCTAATCCAGACCTAACCCAGACCTAACCCAGACCTAACTCAGATCTAATCCAGACCTAACCCAGACCTAACCCAGACGTAACTCAGATCTAATCCAGACCTAACCCAGACCTAACTCAGATCTAATCCAGACCTAACCCAGACCTAACCCAGACCTAACTCAGATCTAATCCAGACCTAACCCAGACGTAACTCAGATCTAATCCAGACCTAACCCAGACCTAACTCAGATCTAATCCAGACCTAACCCAGACCTAACCCAAATCTAGGGTCTGGGTCAGGTCTGGGTTAGGTCTGGATTAGATTTCGGTTAGGTCTGGGTTAGGTCTGGATTAGATTTCGGTTAGGTCTGGGTTAGGTCTGGATTAGATCTGGGTTAGGTCTGGATTAGATCTCGGTTAGGTCTGGGTTAGGTCTGGATTAGATCTCGGTTAGGTCTGGGTTAGGTCTGGGTTAGATCTGGATTAGATCTCGGTTAGGTCTGGGTTAGATCTGGAATAAGTCTGAATTAAGTCTGGGTTAGGTCTGGGTTAGATCCTTTCAGAAAGAGAGGCGAAAAAGTTACGTCACCCTTGTGACGTTTTATAGCGACTGAATTACGGAGAAGAAAATATAAATCTCCAACATGTTCAACACTCACCATTAGTGCATGGTGAATGTCAACATTTACCGGTGTAAGTCAGAAATAAGGGTGTTTAGCAAATATTTCGGATATACACTAAGCGACTATGTGAATGTTGACATTCACCGGTGAAAGTCGACATTCTCCAGATTTCGGTGTTTCACTGTAACATATACATAAACAGTTTTCGTTGCTCAGACTTATACGTATAATTGATCTTGTAGAAATATTATTATAACCGATAAAATACTTAATTTTAACACTTTACCGACCGATAGCCTATTAATCGACTGTTTTACCGACCAACACTTACCGACCGATAGCGTATTAATCAACTTTTTTACCGACCAACGCTTACCGACCGATAAAACAGTTGATTAATAGGCTCTCTGTCGGTAAGCGTTGGTCGGTAAAACAGTCGATTAATAGGCCATCGGTCGGTAATGTGTTAACAAATAAAACGTTGGAATCTTGTCCAAAGCATTAGGATCCTTCCAGTAGATGCAAACTATAATTTAAATAGTTTTTGCGCAAAGTGTTTGTTTCTTTATAATATAATTGATGAAGACAGACGAAGAAATTGGTGGAATTAAATTTACTCAAATAAAAAGTGGAAATTCGATGGTAAAACGATTTCATTTTTTTGCATAAGCTGCAAAAATTTGTTTTTTGACTTTATTACTAATCTGGAATATTTTTTTTTCTGCATTTTTGAATGTAATTTAAGCTTTTTGGATCACTTTACAATTCAATGTAACATTGTAATGTTTTGGTAATAGGTTTGTCTATTTTATTTAATCCCGACGCAAGCAATAAAATTTCTCAACTTAAATTTAATAATGAGAATTTTATTTAGTTTCTTTTGATCGTAATCCCTATTATTAACAGAGTGCAAAGTTTTTGTGTTCGAGATCCTAGTTAACATAGAAAATGACCAACGACAGTTTGAAATACAGTTTACCAAATATACACAAGCCTCTAATAAGACTAATTAACTTAGGGGAAGGTTTGATAGGGACCACAGAGGCTCTTTCTTCTTATCAGAGAGTTAGAAGAGGAGTTGAACGATTAATCGCTGGCTTCTGTAGTTTCAGAGAGTGTGTTTTCCGCCGCTGTTGGGGTTGGAGTGGGTGGATACACCTGGGGAGCTCCCACACCACCCCCTGGATCGCCCTACAGTCCTGTGCCCGTGACGCAGCTCGAACTACTCGCCAAGAATTTGGCCAGTTTGGCTCCCCCGGGTCAACAGGCGCTTAGTCTTCAAGGTGTCGGTGTGAACGTCGGTAGTTTGCACCACGCGCAACACACACAACACACTCAGCACACGCAGCACACGCTCAACTTGACTGGGCTTCATCATCTTCATCACGGTGAGTGAATTTCTGTGGTTTTTAATTTTTCACGCCCAGGATTTCGAATCGAAAAATCTGAAAAAATTCAGGGACATAACCAATGACAATATGCATTTACGGTAATTATAGAAATCTAGTGTCTCGAAAGCTTCAATACGAAATCGGTATTTTTCTGCGTTTTTAATTTTTCACGCCCAGGATTTGGAATCAAAAAATCTGAAAAAATTCAGGGACATGACCAATGACAATACGCATTTACGGTAATTATATAAATCTAGTGTCTCGAAAGCTTCAATACGAAATCGGTATTTTTCTGCGTTTTTAATTTTTCACGCCCAGGATTTGCAATCGAAAAATCTGAAAAAATTCAGGGACATGACCAATGACAATATGCATTTACGGTAATTATAGAAATCTAGTGTCTCGAAAGCTTCAATACGAAATCCGTATTTTTCTGTGTTTTTTTGCGTTTTCAATTTTTCACACCTAGGATTTCGAATCGAAAAATCGGAAAAAATTCTCAAACACGTATCTCGATAACCACAATGCGCCAGATTTTTTTCATAATTTTTCTACTCGATTAAATAGGGGAAATAGGCAGAAATTCGTTAATCCGAATTTTCTCAATAACTACCCTTCCAAACAATATGGAGGGTTAAAATTTGGCACAGAACGTTTTTTCTCGATGCTCTATCGATGGATCCATCGTATGTCACATTTGACCCCCTTATTCGGCTATACCCTTTGTAGGTTAGCTTTGAAATAGAAGAATTATCGTTCATATGTATCGCAAAAGTATTAATTTTCCCAAAAAGTCGTCGAAGCACAAGTGTATATATTATTAAAAAAAGTAAACGGGTAGTAAATGGCCAAATAAACAGGAAATCTTTAAATTTGAATTGCAATAGAGGGTCTCAATTTCCAAGTCAGCCGCCATCTTATTACTTTACTTTAAGCCCCAAAAGATGGCGCTAAATACACGTTCAAATTAAAGTAGACTGTTTTTGAGCTAAAAATTGATGTACATATGTTTTTTGAGTTTAATAAATAAATTTAATTCGTGTTTTAAACATAGTTTCTTTTTCTTAGTCCAATATAACGTTCGTCAGAATCTATTTTTATCAAAATTAGCGTCGTGTAAGTTGTGATTGGATCCACGTGCATGATTTAATCGAATATAAATAGGGCGATTTCTCGTTGAAAAATAAATGGATTTGCGAAATAAATTTTTGGAAATTTTACGAACGAGGTCTATGAGAAAATCGATTTTGAATATATCCACCGTACATACACTTGATAAACAAGAGTAATACTCAGATGTGGGATTCGGTCACGTAAAAGCAATGGTATTTGCACAGGCTATCGGGGAACGTTGATGGAATGAAAACAGCTGGTTATTCGATCCTTCCAGGAGTTAAAAACTCGGAAAGCAATGGTGGAAGCTCATAATTCGACTTTTTTATTTTGAGTAATTTCTCGTTTAATCTTAAAAATATTTTAAATTCACTCTTAATTAGAAATATTTTACAAGCATTTAGGTACATTGTGTTACAAATTTAGAAGACTAGAAATATGAATATTAAAATATATTTTCTAATAAACTAGTGTTTGCTGATAATAAATATCCAGAATGATAATGATGCAAAAGTAAATTAAAAATTATTTTGATCGCGTTACCTAAATATTTTCGACACTTTATAATTATATAGGGTTAATTAAATGGAATAATAAAATTTCTTTAAAATAATTTAAAATTTTTTATTTCATCGAAAAATTTGTCCATTCACTGAATTTTTTTTTCAAAAATGCATAGGATTTCGAGGGTATGTGTATTCATAAAAAATGATCGTAATTGACCCTCTCAACCGAAAATAATTTTTTTAGAATGATTTGAAATTTTTTTTTCCACCGAAAAATTTAGGCACCTTGGTCTGGGTTAGGTCTGCATTAGGTCTGTATTAGGTCTCGGTTAGGTCTGGGTTAGGTCTGTATTAGGTCTGTATTAGGTCTGGGTTAGGTCTGGGTTAGGTCTGTATTAGGTCTGTATTAGGTCTCGGTTAGGTCTGGGTTAGGTCTGTATTAGGTCTAGGTTAGGTCAGGGTTAGGTCTGTATTAGGTCTCGGTTAGGACTGGGTTAGGTCTGTATTAGGTCTAGGTTAGGTCTGGGTTAGGTCTGGGTTAGGTCTGGGTTAGGTCTGGGTTAGGTCTGTATTAGGTATCGGTTAGGTCTGGGTTAGGTCTGTATTAGATCTCGGTTAGGTCTGGGTTAGGTCTGTATTAGGTCTAGGTTAGGTCTGGGTTAGGTCTGGATTTATAGATAACCTTATTCCCCCAGGGAATAGATTTATTTTGTTTTAAATACATTTATCCCAGACCTAACCCAGACCTAACCCAGACCTAACCCAGACCTAACCCAGACCTAACCCAGACCTAACCTAGACCTAACCCAGACCTAACCCAGATCTAATACAGACCTAATACAGACCTAACCCAGACCTAATCTAGACCTAATCCAGACCTAACCCAGACCTAACCCAGACCTAACCGAGACCTAATCCAGACCTAACCCAGACCTAACCCAGATCTAATACAGACCTAATACAGACCTAACCCAGACCTAACCCAGACCTAACCCAGACCTAACCCAGACCTAACCTAGACCTAACCCAGACCTAACCCAGATCTAATACAGACCTAATACAGACCTAACCCAGACCTAATCTAGACCTAATCCAGACCTAACCCAGACCTAACCTAGACCTAACCCAGACCTAACCCAGATCTAATACAGACCTAATACAGACCTAACCCAGACCTAATCTAGACCTAATCCAGACCTAACCCAGACCTAACCCAGACCTAACCGAGACCTAATCCAGACCTAACCCAGACCTAACCCAGATCTAATACAGACCTAATACAGACCTAACCCAGACCTAATCTAGACCTAATCCAGACCTAACCCAGAACTAACGGAGACCTAATCTAGACCTAATCCAGACCTAACCCAGACCTAACTGAGACCTAATCTAGACCTAATCCAGACCTAACTGAGACCTAATCTAGACCTAATCCAGACCTAACCCAGACCTAACCCAGACCTAACCCAGACCTAACCTAGACCTAACCCAGACCTAACTCAGATCTAATACAGACCTAATACAGACCTAATACAGACCTAACCCAGACCTAATCTAGACCTAATCCAGACCTAACCCAGACCTAACCGAGACCTAATCCAGACCTAACCCAGACCTAACCCAGATCTAATACAGACCTAATACAGACCTAACCCAGACCTAATCTAGACCTAATCCAGACCTAACCCAGAACTAACCGAGACCTAATCTAGACCTAATCCAGACCTAACCCAGACCTAACCCAGACCTAACTGAGACCTAATCTAGACCTAATCCAGACCTAACCCAGACCTAACCCAAACCTAACCCAGACCTAACCCCCGTTATCAGCGATGAATTGGTCTCCGGTTAGGTCTGGGTTAGGTCTGAATTAGGTCTGAATTAAGTCTGGGTTAGATCTGGGTTAGGTCTGAATTAAGTCTGGGTTAGGTCTGGGTTAGGTCTGAATTAAGTCTGGGTCAGGTCTGGGTTAGATCTGGAAGAAAAATTAGATTTTCGGTAAGAAATTTTTTCTCAAAATATATCGTCGTTCGGTACTAAAACAGTTAAGTATCCTCAATAGCTTAACGACTTCAGGGTACAGCAATTTCTATCCTCAAAAAAGGAGGCCAGATGACAAAATTAAGTAATTTGAGTAATATTGCAACTACATGGCCCATCCTCTAATATAAACTATTTCGAAATTCCAAAGAGCTTCCAATAATATCTATAAACGAGTGTTATACCTACAATTGATGAAATTAAAATTTGTTCAACAGGAGGTCTCCATCAGAACACCTTTTCTCCCCAACTGTCTCTGGTAACCGGAAACGCGCCCACGCTGACGATCAACAGCTTCTCATCGCCAAACTCGACAGGCAACGTTGTACCAACGACTGGCGTCCTGCTCCAGGAGTACCAATCGCCGTCAGGCTCGACCACCGGATGCTCCGTCACCGTGAACGGCACCTCGTGCCCGACGAGCTCGACGACGAGCACGATGGTGATGCAGGGGGACCAGACCGCCTGCAACCAGGTCGTGCAGGCCAGCAAGAAACGGGAGGCCTTCCTACCGAGTCAAGGTCAGCCAGTCAAACTGGAGAACAAATCGACCAGGCAGCCCTGCGTTTGCAGAAACAGCGGTACGTATAACATCAATTTTTTCTCTATCATTATCTCCGTTCCATTGGGCGCCATTGTGAGGCGCCTTTTACGAATCTAATGCAAGGTTTATGAGTGGGGGCCCTGAAGTTTAGAGGAAAACAGTGATAATTTTCTTTGTTATAACGCCTTAGAATGTCCTTTCTTCGAGACTCGTCGTTCTTTTATTTTTTAAACTTCGCTACCGCGCTCATAGATGGCGCTGACTCCCGTCCGTACCAATCCACCCACAAATACGTTGCAATCTATGCATACAGATAACACATCGATATCATCGAGTTTTCTCGGTAACTGTTGGGAATTGGGTGAAAAAGCAGTACACTTTGTAAGTAAAAATGAAACTTTATTCCGTGGTTTCGGAAGTACGTTAAAACTGAACAAGAAGCGACGCTCAGATCCCCTGAAAGAAAATCTGGCGTCCATTTAAAAAGGAAAGAAATCATTGCCTGCATCATGTTTATATTTCCCTGGCCCTAAACGACAAAACAGACCCACAAGCCCCTGGGCCCGATGGTGCCAATACGGTCTTCGTATGCAATGGACAGTGTTTCTCACTGTTAGCTTCAGTTTTGTAACGATTATTTACTAATAATCCTAAGTAACTAAGTAACTTTATCGATGGTCGAAGTCGAGTGATCTGCGACGTTTCTCGCGATCGAGAAACAGGAAGCCCTCTAGAGGTGTCATCTATGATGCAATCGACGACCTTGCAGCGCCCCCTTCCGGGCGTTCCCGTAACGCGAAGTAGTGTCGATTGTCCAGTGAAAGAAACGCTGTGAAACAGACGAAAAGGCGAAAGAAACCCAGAAAGTCGAGGAAAGAGCGTGGAGAAAGAGGCATAGCAGAGCCACGGTTGAAAGAGAAAGAAGAAAAGAACTACGAAAGGAGGAAAAAGAGGAACGAGGAACGAGGAAGAAAACGTCGAGAAAAGAAGCTAAGAGGATTGAAAAGAGGGGGCAAAAAGAAAGGTGGGAAGAGACGGACGAATCGGCGTGCGGTAGAAAGAGAGACGAGATTGAGAAGAGAGGGACGAGCTCACGCAAGATTCTCTCGCGTCTATGTTTACGGTAAGAGCCGACTGGTGGCTCCCTCGTCGGATTCTCCTATCCCCCAACCGCTTTTACGCTTCGTTCTCATGATTCATTCCTGTCCACCACGTGGGCCAAGTTCGATGCTTCCCACGGCGGGCTGCCCCGTTTGGCAGAACGAACGTTCGACGACTTATGCTCGAGACTCGTTACCCCGGAGTAAATTGCACGGGATAAACGATGCTCGCCGCGCGTGACTTTTGCAGGAACAGACACCAGGCTGGCCAATTTTTTTGCGCCGTTTCCTGAGCACCCGGAATCGTCCTTGTTAGTGGGTAAATAAGAATGATTGACCAGCCACCTTTTAACACTAGATTGCCCAAGGAAGTCATTTTGACTGCTTTTTAATTTCAATTAGAAAAACAATTATGTATATAATGAGACAATTTCTTAGAATTTTGTGACTTTTTGCACAACATATAAATGCGTTTATTAATAATTGTAGTTACCTCCTCCCTCCTTCATTTCCGGTATATGTGTTATACCTATATTGGTCAAAGGCAGTCATTTTGACTGCTTGGGAAATTTTAAATAATCAAATCACTCTTATTATTGAATTGAGTAAATTTCTTATATGACCAGTTCGACTCCGTATTGAAATAACAGTTTTCATTTTTTTCCGATTACCAACACATGATAACATACAAGTGCATGATAAATTGTCGATTTGGGCGTACCTAACCCAGACCTAACCCAGACCTAACCCAGACCTAACTCAGATCTAATCCAGACCTAACCCAGATCTAATTCAGATCTAATCCAGACCTAACCCAGACCTAACCCAGATCTAATTCAGATCTAATCCAGACATAACCCAGACCTAACCCAGATCTAGGGTCTGGGGTCTGGGTTAGGTCTGGGTTAGGTCTGGATTAGATCTGAATTAGATCTGGGTTAGGTCTGGGTTAGGTCTGGATTAGATCTGAGTTAGCTCTGGGTTAGGTCTGGATTAGATCTGAATTAGATCTGGGTTAGGTCTGGGTTAGGTCTGGATTAGATCTGTATTAGATCTGGGTTAGGTCTGGTTTAGATCTGAATTAGATCTGGGTTAGGTCTGGATTAGATCTGAGTTAGGTCTGGGTTAGGTCTGGGTTAGGTCTGGATTAGATCTGAGTTAGGTCTGGGTTAGGTCTGGATTAGATCTGAATTAGATCTGGGTTAGGTCTGGATTAGATCTAAATTAGATCTGGGTTAGGTCTGGATTAGATCTGAGTTAGGTCTGGGTTAGGTCTGGTTTAGGTCTGGGTTAGGTCTGGGTTAGGTCTGGATTAGTTAATAATCCAAATTATCTTAACCCTTTGCACTCCTATGTCGAGTGTGATTCGACATCAATTTTGATCTCAGGAGCACCTTCGTCAAGTCTCACTCGACATTCTTTCAAGTCCAAACCAAACAGATATCATACACTTGGAAATTACAAAATACAACAACAGTGTAAATGAGACCTAACCCAGACCTAACCCAGACCTAACCTAGACCTAACCCAGACCTAACCCAGATCTAATCCAGACCTAACCCAGACCTAACCCAGATCTAATCCAGACCTAACCCAGACCTAACCCAAATTTAATCCAGATCTAATCCACACCTAACCCAGACCTAACCCAGATCTAATCCAGATCTAATCCAGACCTAACCCAAATCTAATCCAGATCTAATCCACACCTAACCCAGACCTAACCCAGATCTAATCCAGACCTAACCCAGACCTAACTCAGATCTAATCCAGACCTAACCCAGACCTAACTCAGATCTAATCCAGACCTAACCCCCGTTATCTGGGCTGAAAAAGATCAACACTTTTTGACTCAGAATTTTATATCCATATTTTGGTATAAAAAATATAGTATTGTATTTAAAAAAACATGAGAAGTTTCCAAAATAATTCGATTTTTCTTAAAAATTCGTTTTTCATTTTTAGCAAATTTGTTTTACGTCCTATAGAAAAATTGTCTAATACTTTTTTGTAGGCGCCCATGAACTCTACTTCCAAAAAAAAGTTTCATTGAAATCCATTCACTATTGTCGAAGTTATGGTCGTTTGAAAATTGAATCACGTTTATGGGTTTGTTTCTTATTTTAAAGTGTTAAGGAACAATTTTTCGAATATTTTTCGAATTTCTACATATTCTCCACTAAAATACGCGTTGTTTGCCTTTTTAAACATTAAAATCGGCCGATCCGTTCAGAAGTTATGAATTTTTAAAGATTCGCATGAAATTTCGGGGTACCATTTCTGGGCCTGAATTTATATTTTCGTTAAGGAATTTTTTTCTCGAAAATGGTTAGGATTTTGAGGGTATGTCTGTTCACCAAAAATGATTGTAATTGACTCCCGTAACCGAAAATAATTTTTTTCGAAGGATTTGAAATTTTTAAAATTCGTCGAAAAATTTCACACCTTCTCGAATTTTTTTTTAGAAAATGGTTAGGATTTCATAACATTTCTATATTTTAGACTGAAATGTCACAATTTCCTACATTTCTACGCGACGTTGACGAATGAATCGTCAGATGTTTCCAGAAACACGATGATTCGAGGTCCACAGTAGCTACGAGACTTACTTAATTAGCAAACTGTTAGAAATTCAAGGGAAAATAAAGGGTTAAACGCACAGAAGTTTGTATAAAAGCCTGTCAAATTGCACGCCCAGTCGTAAAACTCCTCGTACCATCCGCGCAAATTTATCGGTCCATCCCGATAGTCGCAGAGAAATACGAAGCGAGAGGTTCTCGGAAGCCGTGACGGAAAGAAGGCTGTTTGGTCATAATTTCCTCTACTTTGTGTCGCAAAGTGCCGGCCGATATAAATGTTTTCATTGTCGGTGGACGAGACACGAGCGTGCAGTGCACGCCATCCACGCTGGGTGGCATAAATGGTTCATACCACGGGCGATAAAATCAAGATCGTACCTTTTGTTCGCGATAGAGACCCCGTTTGACTGTGGAATTAATGTCGGCGTTACTCATGCAGCTATTGACCTCGTTGCGGATCCCTTTTGTCTCGACGATCGGTCGAATAAACGGTGGAATCGAATCGCCAAAAAAACTAGTCAAAATTTATAATTCAATTTCTTAAGCAAACCTAATTATCAGGGTGGAATGAAAAAATCAGAATTTGTGTAACGGTTTCCCTAATTGTTCACAAAATTTGCCTTCATTCTTTCGGATTAGATCTGTAAAAGTTTCTGTTGAAACAATTTTTTAGATGGCGTAGGAAGATTGAAGTTTTCAATTTTTATTGGGTTAATGGGTCTTTTTTGACACAGATAGCATTTATTTTTCGAGGAAATCTAGCTTTTTAGAATTCTTAAAACAGTTGGAGAAGCGTAGAAAGCTAAAAGGAGCTCACGTTGGGAAGTAAAAAGATATCCAGCTAAAACGATTTGTTTTTCTAACCTTTTTCTAAGGACTTGTCGAACGATCCTCGTATAGAACGCTCTTACACTCGACTTTTTGTCGGGCAAATTGCAGATACACGACAGATGGCTGAAGTTTCCGAGGGTTAGTAACGAACTGTTGTTTTATAAATTCAGGGAAAACCAGGACGGTGCATTCCGACGCGGGCTGCAGCAGGACATTGCCGGTTGCTTCGTCCTGGAACGGCCAGGACGCGAATTGCAACGGCAATAATGGCGGTAATAACTTGGTGAAAAGGGAACCGCTGGCTTCGGTGCCGTGTCAGGTCGCCGAAGTCTCGACGTCCCTCCACGCGACAACCACCTCCGTGAAAATCGAGCCAGTCCCACCGAAATCGGAAAACGGTGAGTCATTACGCAGCTTTCCCAAGTTTCTCGAATTACACACTCTCTAAACGTATCTTCGTCGCCTGAAACTGGGTAACAACTTGCAAATTCTCTTTGTATCGATACAAAATTTACTTCATCCACCAACAATAACTTGGGGGTTCACTCTTTCTTTCTAACCAACAATTTCTTTCGACAAACGAGTCTATAGCGAACGATATACACATGTCACAGTGAAACACCGAAATCTGTAGAATGTCGACTTTCACCGGTGAATGTCAACATTCGCATAGTCGTTTAGTGTATGTCCGAAATATTTGCTAAACACCCTTATTTCTGACTTACACCGGTAAATGTTGACATTCACCATGCACTAATGGTGAGTGTTGAACATGTTGGAGATTTATATTTTCTTCTCCGTAATTCGGTCGCTATAAAACGTCACAAGGGTGACGTAACTTTTTCGCCTCTCTTTCTGAAAGGATCTAACCCAGACCTAACCCAGACCTAACCCCCGTTATCAGCGATGAATTGGTCTGGGTTAGGTCTGGATTAGGTCTGGAATAAGTCTGGGTTAGGTCTGGGTTAGGTCTGGGTTAGGACTGGGTTAGGTCTGAATTAAGTCTGGGTTAGGTCTGGGTTAGGTCTGGAATAAGTCTGGGTTAGGACTGGGTTAGGACTGGGTTAGGTCTGAATTAAGTCTGGGTTAGGTCTGGGTTAGGTCTGGGTTAGGTCTGGAATAAGTCTGGGTTAGGTCTGGGTTAGGTCTGGGTTAGGTCTGGGTTAGGTCTGGGTTAGGTCTGGGTTAGGTCTGAATTAAGTCTGGGTTAGGACTGGGTTAGGTCTGAATTAAGTCTGGGTTAGGTCTGGGTTAGGTCTGGAATAAGTCTGGGTTAGGACTGGGTTAGGACTGGGTTAGGTCTGAATTAAGTCTGGGTTAGGTCTGGGTTAGGTCTGGGTTAGGTCTGGAATAAGTCTGGGTTAGGTCTGGGTTAGGTCTGGGTTAGGTCTGGGTTAGGTCTGAATTAAGTCTGGGTTAGGTCTGGGTTAGGCCTTAATTTACTCTTAAAAAGACGAGTTTGCTAATTAGAAAATCTAATTTTTCTTCCAGACCTAACCCAGACCTAACCCAGACTTAATTCAGACCTAACCCACACCTAACCCAGACCTAACCCAGACTTAATTCAGACCTAACCCAGACCTAACCCAGACTTAATTCAGACCTAACCCAGACCTAACCCAGACTTAATTCAGACCTAACCCAGACCTAACCCAGACCTAACCCAGACTTAATTCAGACCTAACCCAGACCTAACCCAGACTTAATTCAAACCTAACCCAGACCTAACCCAGACCTAACCCAGACTTAATTCAGACCTAACCCAGACCTAACCCAGACTTAATTCAGACCTAACCCAGACCTAACCCAGACTTAATTCAGACCTAACCCAGACCTAACCCAGACTTAATTCAGACCTAACCCAGACCTAACCCAGACTTAATTCAGACTTATTCCAGACCTAACCCAGACTTAATTCAGACCTAACCCAGACCTAACCCAGACTTAATTCAGACCTAACCCAGTCCTAACCCAGACTTAATTCAGACCTAACCCAGACCTAACCCAGACCTAACCCAGACTTATTCCAGACCTAACCCAGACCAATTCATCGCTGATAACGGGGGTTACGTCTGGGTTAGGTTTGGGTTAGGTCTGGAATAAGTCTGGGTTAGGTCTGGGTTAGATCTGGGTTAGAAAAAGATTACGATTTACTGCAGTATCCATTTAGTATAAATTAGGGTATCGGAAAAGAAATTAAGAAAACGTTGCTCGCGTTATCAAAGCTTGCATAAGACTGACAAAGCTGATTGACTCCGAGGAGAACAAAGGATTTGGCGGGAGAGAGCCAGTCGCTTGTTTTTTGACTCTTCTGTTTTGGACGTCCAGCAGAGCATATTTGTGATTGTCGACACACACCGGAGAGGGTCCGAATGTACAACAATGTAATGAAATATTCGATCTTTCACCGATGTATTTGGTATCTGTTGACATTCACCGGTGAAAGTTGACATTCTCCAATTTCGGTCATTCAGGGTAACACATATACAGCTCCAAAACAGAAGCATAAATTGGAAATTACAGTTTTTCAAGGTGTATTCAATGTGTTTTCCTAATGATGGATGTTTGTCACACATCCGGGTAGCGTGCGCCTGTCGGTATGCGCGGAGGAGCGTGCGCGAGTGAGAACGCGCGCATGCGCGTTGCGTCGCTTTCCCACCGAGTTCGTTGCGTGGTCGTCGTGCGTTCAACATGTATCACTTCTGTATCGTTCATTATTATTAAACCGTTCTATATATATGTATCCAACAATCTAACACAAACTACAATATCTTTGAAATGAAATTTAATCAAATAAAATGTGGAAATTCGATGTAAAGCGATTTCAATTTTTACAGAAGCTTTTTTGACATTTAGGAGAATATATAAAACTAAAAGCAGAAAAATTACTATAGAATTATTATAGAATCTACGAATTACGAAATACTGTGATGATAATTTGAATTTTGCTTTGGTGCAACGATCGTTGGGGGTTAAATATACTTGGTTACTAATATTCGAAGAATTCGTGGATCATTAATAATGCCAGACAGGGGGCTGTCCACGTTGGCGTTAATTAGTTGGAAGATAAATATAAAATGCGAACGAAGTAACACGACATATTGCAAAAGCAACATCTTCACAATGAGCGATTGTATCTGATGGAAATTTTAGTTAACAATGTTGAAACTTTCAAACTTTGAACGATAAAACATATTTCGTTGCATCAAGTTCCTTAGAAATACAAACAGAATAGAATTAGCAACGTCAAAACAAATTCAAATCGTTAATAAACAAAGAAATAACCGAATTTTGGGTTCTAAAAAAGATTCAAAAATCTTGCTAGAGCTTTTTTTAACTTAAAAAATTATTGTTAACTTTACACACTTCCAATGGAAGCTATATTTATCATGCTGTTAATTTATTTATTTTTAGTGTAATTTAGAATATTTTGAAACTAATTGTCAATAGGAAGGTACAATTGTAGAATTTTGAAATTTGAATGGGGGATTCTAGGGGCCAAAATAAGACGAAAATGAAGAATATTAATTTGTTGATCGGGGCTTCGTTAAATAGTTATTAATGTTTAAAAGTTCCATGAATTTTTTTCTCGAAAGTGGGTAGGAATTCGAGGGTATGTCTGATGACCAAAAATTATTGTAATTGACCTCTGTAACTGAAAATAATTTTTCCAGAATGATTTGAAATTTTTTTTTTTCGTCGAAATTTAGGCATTTACTGAATTTTTTTCTCGAAAATGCGCAGGATTACGAGGGTATGTCTGATGACCAAAAATTATTGTAATTGACCCCTGTAACTGAAAATAATTTTTCCAGAATGATTTGTAATTTTTTTTTTTCGTCGAAATTTAGGCATTTACTGAATTTTTTTCTCGAAAATGCGCAGGATTACGAGGGTATGTCTGATGACCAAAAATTATTGTAATTGACCCCTGTAACTGAAAATAATTTTTTTAGAAGGATTTGAAATTTTTGAATTTTGTCGAAAAATTTCATACCTTCTCGAATTTTTTTCTCGAAAATGCGAAAGATTTCGGAGATATGTCTGTTCACCAAAAATTATTGTAATTGACCCCTGTAACCGAAAATAATTTTTTTAGAAGGATTTGAAATTTTTGAATTTTGTCGAAAAATTTCACACCTTCTTGAATTTTTTTCTCGAAAGTGGGTAGAATTTCAACGATATGTCTAATGACCAAAAATGATTGTAATTAACCCCTGCAATCAAAAATAATTTTTTCAGAACGATTTCAAAAATGTTGGTACCTACCCCCTATCGATTTTTCTTAAAAATTTGTTTTTCATTTTTAATAAATTTGCTTGGCGCTGTACAGAAAAGTTGTTTAATATTTTTTTGCAGATATCCATGAGCTCTATTTCCCCTTCAAATTTCAATGAAATCCATCGACTATTGTAAGAGTTATGGCAGTTTGAAAATTGGACAATGTTTTATGGGGGTTTTCTCATTTTGCGGGGTGAAGCATCAACTTTTCGAATATTTTTGGAATTTCTACATATTATCCATTAAAATGCGCGTCGTTTGCCTTTTTAAACATTAAAATCCACCGATCCGTTCAGGAGTTATGATGTTTTAAAGATTCGCATGAAATTTCAGGGAAGCATTTTCGGTAAAGAATTTTTTTTTCGAAAATGCGCAAGATTTCGTGGGTATGTCTGTTCACCAAAAATTATTGTAATTAACCCTTGCAACCGAAAATATTTTTTCCAAAACGATTTGAAATTCTTTTTTTCCGTCGAAAAATTTCATACCTTCTCGAATTTTTTTCACGAAAATGCGAAAGATTTCGGAGATATGTCTCTTCACCAAAAATTATTGTAATTAACCCTTGCAACCGAAAATATTTTTTCCAAAACGATTTGAAATTCTTTTTTTCCGTCGAAAAATTTCATACCTTCTCGAATTTTTTTCTCGAAAATGGTTAGGATATTGAGGGTATGTCTATTCACCAAAAATTATTGTAATTGACCCTTGCAACCGAAAATAATTTTTCCAAAACGATTTGAAATATTTGAATTTTGTCGAAAAATTTCATAACTTCTCGAATTTTTTTCTCGAAAATGCGAAGGATTTCGGAGATATGTCTATTCACCAAAAATTATTGTAATTAACCCTTGCAACCGAAAATATTTTTTCCAAAACGATTTGAAATTCTTTTTTTCCGTCGAAAAATTTCATACCTTCTCGAATTTTTTTCTCGAAAATGGTTAGGATTTCGAGGTTATGTCTATTCACCAAAAATGATAGTAATCGACCCCCAAAACTCGGAATATTTTTTCCAGAATGATTTGAATTCAAGGAAGTAAAGTGGTCGAAGACGACGAGAACGAGGCGAAGGGTGAAAAGGAATTAAGGAAGTGCGATGAAAAGGTGAACTTGG